AAAGAAAAATTTAACAACAAAAAAAAAACAGCTAAGTAGACAAGGTTAATGTCTTAAGCGTAAAGTGGTAATTTCGTAAGCGAAAAGAGAAAAAAAAGTAGTGGAGTAGTTGAAATATTTCAATTAAGTGTTAATTTTTAAGAAAAATAAATATTAAAAAACAAAATTTTTACGAGGAAATCCAGTTACTGTTGAAATTCAACCGTTCTTCTAGTTTATAAGGTACAAAAGTACGTACCGGAAAATCTGCTTTGGACCTAAAACGTGACTACAAACTTTATATCTTCGAAGGTCTTTGCAGGGCTTTGACAGGACTTGGAATTGACCCGACACTTTTCAGATTGTCGATAAATTTCGATAAACTGATACATATCGTTAATTCGATGAATTTTAGAAACACAAAAATCCGGTGACTCAACAAAGTTCGATAACTCGACTAATTTCGATAAATTTCGATAACCTTGCATTTCGAGGGCTCGATAAATTTCGATTATTAAGAAATTAATATATAACGCGATATAAATCGGTAACTCGATAAACTTTGTATACCTCTAAAAATTTCGATAACTCGGTTAATTTTGATAGCTCTATATTTTTGAAGAGCCATCGACAAATTTTGATAACTCGTTACGCTCTGGTAACACGATAAAATTCGTTAAGCAGTGATAACTCGATAAAGTTATATAACCATGAAATTTCTATAAGTCGATATACTTTGAAAATTCCAAAATCTTCGATTCGAAAAATTTCAGTAAGTCAATAAATATCGATAAGTCGAAATAACTCGATGCAGTACGATAAGTCCATACATAAAACAAAGCACCATTCAATCAGTTTCAACCGTCGATGTATATTAGGATAAAAAAGCGTAACAGTTAACAGCCAAAGAATGACTCCAAATTAACTGTGAGTATTTTAAATTATTCCTACCAACAAAGTAAGTGGCTTTTTTTTCCCTACGAAACGAACACAAAATTTTCTCACCGTTTGCCTTTATTTTAGAATCAAACACGAATAGAGAAAGGGGCAATGAAAAGGCTACATATTTTTGTTGAAATGAAAGCACCATTAGTCTTCGAAAATATGTGTATATTATGGCCTAAGCGGGCACTATTCTTTAGGGACACATGAATAGTATTGTTACAGTGCTTTAAAAACAGTTATTCATGGATTCAGTTCGCTGTTTAAGTCTTAAGTTTTAGCCGAAATTATCAAAAGACTCACAACGTGCAAATAAAAAATTTCAATGTAAACTTTTTTATAATTGTTTGTGAAGGGTATAATTAATAGACAAATCACAAACAAATGCTCTTTTAATACATTTTACTAACATTTGCTTATTTTTTTTTCTTTCTAATTCCAGCAAATTTCGTTAAATTACTGTCACTGTAATGAAACTAAACAACTACTAACAAAAATGCTCAGGCCTTCGGAAGCGCCAAGACAAGTTCAGCACTCAACCGTCGTACAGTCAAATAGCGGACAAAACAAACGGTAAAACCGATAAATTCACTACATTTCCCAACATTTGTCCGCAAACATACATACATACATACATACATCATGCGCTCCATACAATAACAAGTAAAAGTGAAATTCTTAATAAAAATTATTGGTGCACAAAAAATAAATAAGCAATCAATAATGGATAAATAAATGATGTGCAAATAACAGAAAGAGAGAGAGAGATAAGTGTTTACAGTAGTGAATGTGGAGTAGGTAGCGGTGAAGTAGAGCGCAGCAAAAAATAAAAATAGAAATGCAAATAAATCAATGAGTTACCTGAGCAAATAGCAATTCAAACAAAAATATTGTGCAATAGAGAAACGTGAGTACCAAATGAAAATGAAGTAAATTAAAATAAAGTGAGTCAGAAATAGAGTCGGTAAAAATGGAAAATACACTAAATAGCATTACCGTAGAATATGTATGAATTGTAAAGAATTGCACGAAAAGATGTCAAAATTATCACGAAATGCTAAAAAATTAATTATCACTGCATGAAAGACATGGAAAATAAGACCAATAAAACCAAAATGAATTCATATGAGGTGGTGTTATCAGAGCAGCTGATTTTTCTCGTCTGCGGTTCTTAATGTCGCTACCAGCTTCTATGAGTTGAGCTTGAATGAAACAATTAAATACAAAGAAAAAAAATTACAATTTGTCATTAAATAGACTTTTTGCAAAAATTTGTAAACATTTATTTAGTTTCCATAGAACGCCTTAAAACAATTTGTTATAATTAGGGGATTCACAAGATATGTTAACCGTCGTAAAGTCTTGAGCTTAACATTTTGTATGTAAAAAAATGTCTTAAAACTAATAAAAAAAATATATATATTTATAATTAGCCCCCCCCCCCCCCCCAAAAAAAAAACTAATTTAACCGTTATTTTATAAAAAATTATGCCAAGCTTATAATTTTACGCCGCTTAACACGTTTTCTGAATCCCCTAAATATTAAAAACTAATAGTTATATGGTAATCAAAATGCTCAGGAAAAATGAAAAATATGAATTATACGAGAACAAAAGGACATTTTTTTTTAAATAAAGTTCTATATGATTGCAACAATTTTCCTTAATATAAGAATTGATTTTGAATAATATCAAATATTTTCTATTTAAATTAAAATAAAATATAAAATGAATAAAATTATATTAAGTAAAATAATAAGAATACATCTCGATTCAATTAAAGGGCAAATAATGAAAGAAACAAAAATTTTAATAAAATACATATTTCAAAAAATAGTGATAGGAAATAAAATTAATTTAAAAAGTACAAAATTTAATTGAAAGTGAATAAAAAAAAACAAAAAATAAAAGTAAATTAAGAAAACGGGGACAGTAACGAATTTAATGATAACGACAAAACTCATAGTTTATTAGTTTATTTTTTTGAAAAAACTTTTGCGTTATTTTTTGATTTTTTATTTTATTTTATTTTTTAAATCAAGAACAACCGTCATTCTTGGATTTATATTTTTTCTATAAACTTTTGATTTTTCTTTTTTCGATCCTTCACACTATATCCGTTTATTTCAGATTTAACACACATCACAAAAAAATTCAATCGGTTCTGAATTTAAAGATGAAAAGTTAACAATAATTCTAAAAATTATAAAAAAAAATTAAAAAATACGATCTCACTGTGCTCTTAAAATATAAATTTTTTTTATGAAATGGTTATGAGATTTTATTAAATAAAAGAAAATAATTAAAAAAATAAAATAAAACAATATTCAGAGAGTAAAATATACTTAAAAAAAAATTAACAAAATTGCATTTAAACATTTAAATAAAGTAACTAGAAATTTTACAAGCACAAAAAAATTTACTAAAGACAAATTAAAAAGTGAGCAACAAAATACAGTAAATTAAATAAAACAGGTATACAAAATAAAGTAAACTGAATTGATATAAAAAAGTAAAAAGTAATATTGAAGAAATATTTATAAAAAATAAAATAAAAGTCATGATAAAATAAATACATACTAACTAAAATTTAAAAAATTAATGCCGAATAAAACAAAAATAAAAAGGATTAAAATTAAAAAAATAAAACAAATTTAATGATTCCTCAATTAAGAATAAAAGAATTAAACAAAGTAAATTAACAAACAAAAATTAGAATAAAGAAAATTTTATTAAAAAATGTAATTAATATAAAGTAGTCAAAACTACAAAAACATAAAATAAATCAAAACATTTAAAATATAAACAATAAGTAATTGAATAAAGACTAGAGTGCCAGTTACTGTCGAAATGCGACAGTTTTTCTAGTTTTTAGGAGCCTTGGAGAGGTTTTCTAACTTAACACGTAGCATTTTATTGGCACAGAGAATTTTTCGCAATATATGCAAAGTTTTTTATTCTAATTTATTTTCAATATTTTTTAATAAAAATATAGTTCGTACTTCACCAAAAAACATAAAAACAAAATCTCTAAACTTTGTGCAAAACTCAGATTTTTTAGAGAAATTCTAAGTATGTAGTTTTATAGCCCAACTAATTTTAGTATAACAAAGTGCAAGTTTGAAGTATCTAAAAAATTGCGTTGATTTTTGGACATTTTTTTAGTAGAAGGTGTTGCTCATTTTCTTCATACAAAAAATAATTGTCGAACATACTTTGTACGGAAGAACCTGGCTGAAAAAAAAATTGCCAAAATCAATGCGATTTTTTAGCACCTTCAAGTTTAACGGGTTGTTCATTTCAAACTAAGATTTCGGAGTTCATACTCCCAAAAATTAAACAACTAACTACTTATTTCCCTAGTAAATAAGTGCTGAAATTCCACCAGTATTAGCAATTTAAAGCGCCACAAAAAAAAACTAAGAAAAATATCAGCAATATATATTTTTATAAAAAAAATTTAAATAAAATCCAAGTCAAGTAATTTCACTCACCTAGGAAAAGTGCAATATTCCGATTTCTTTTGTCGAAAACAAAAAGCACCAATTAAGTGACAAAAGAAAAAATTTCAACAAGCAACTTGCCTCCTGCTGCTATTGCTGCTTGCAACGTGCTGTGCAACAACTATAAAGCGTGAAAAGCTAAGAAAGTGCGCAATACTCGCATAACGACGACGACGACAACAACAACAAGTCCAACAGCAAATACAACGAAAACTAGATATGTATGTAATTAAAAAATTCCTACAAAAACTGCAAGTTAAAATATGAAAATGCATTTTTTTTAGAAATTCACAAAAAAAAAGTCACCAACCGCGCACAGCAAAATGCAGCATTAATTGGGCCACCATAATTGCAGCGCACGGTGCTACAATGCAGGCAATCGTAAAAAGCATATGAAAAAAACATCAAAAAAAAAAATAATAATTTCAATAAAAAACGCAACATCTAAACACACTTCGCAAAGTTGCTTCGGCTACATCTTCGTCGCATTCGTCACCAGCGCTGCTGTCAAGCGCCTCTGATTAGTGCAACTCTTTTGTCAAGTCGTTGCATCCGCTGTGTGTGTGTGTGTGTATTTGTTTGTGCTTTCGCGTATGTTTGCGTGCCTAGCTCAGCATTTGTTTTAGTGTTATATACATACATGCATACATAAATAAATTGTGCACTTTTATTTGTTGCATTAGCGCGTTGGCGTCACTTTAATTACCTTTCGTTGCCGCTGACTAGCGTTATGTGAAAAAAATTGGTTATAATTTTTCAACTAATTACCGCTACAATGACCACGATTGCTTGAGGCGCACGTTACTTAAGTGGCAGTTTCCTTTTGGTGAGTAAAATTGCAATTTATTCACTTTAGAAAATATATTGAAAGTATGTCGATATAGAGTGTTTTTAAACCGAATTCTGAAAGAAGGCGTTCTTGAAGAATTTTCTGGGCATTTAGGTCGATCTTCCATGCAGCGGTCGATACATAGCTAATTATTTATATTTGAGTATTGAATTCAAGAATAAAAAAAAAATAAAAACATTCTAAGAGCTAAAAGCTCCAACATTTTTTTACCATTAATAATCTGGTTAAAAATAATGAGTTTTCCACTACTAGTTTCAAAAATTTATCGTAAGAAGCAGATACATAACCGGGAAGGTGGAAATCTCAAGCGGCTGTAACCTTTCCGAAATTTCTATTCATTAATAGTATGCTTAAACTTTGACAGTTTTAAGCTCAAAATAAAAAACAAAATGTATGCAAATTTTATTTTTTGATATAAATATAAATTTCCACAATTATAACAACTTTCTTATGGTCAAATCTGTTTTAAGAATCACATATTTCTAGTACTTATGCGGAAATTCAGAAAAAAATCTTTCAGACATAAACAAAGCTGACTGTTTCAGTGTTCTTGTTGGAGATGGCATTAAACGGCCTTCACTAAGTATATGCCCAGACTACGCAAAGATTTCACTAACTTTGTCCCAATCCATACAACTTTACGACATTTTCACTTCTTTTCTGGGAATTGATGAAATCAAGATTTTCTGAAAGTCTGGATGGTATATATATAGAAAAACATTTTTTTTTTTCAGTTTCCCAAGTTGGCTATTTTAAGCTATTTTATATTTTTTTTTTAATTTAAAGTTGGTAGTCGCTGTGCAGCATTTAAAACGATTAAAAGTATTTCAAATGCAAATATTTGTATATTCAAAAGACCTTTTTTGGGGTCTTGGAGTCCGAAGAATCTAAATTTGGAATTTACTTTTAGCTAAAACGGATGCCAGGATGCGCTTTAATGTAAAACCATGGAAGCAGCTTGAAGGAAAAGTGCTAACAATGTTTGTCAACAATGTTTCTCAACAATGTTTCTTCATGTTTATTTGCAGCAAAGTGCAACCCGCAGCTGCGGCGTTATTGCTAAAAATAAACGCTTTTTTGTAAAACTAATCTGCAGATTCAGTATCCTCGTGCCCGAAACCCTCAGAAAGATCTTTTAATGATATGAATATTTGAATTTTAATCACTTTCAATGGTTTTAAGTGCTGCTCTAGACCACCAATTTTAAATTAACAAAAATCGCTTAAATCGCCAACCTGTGAAAACTTTTCTATGTACAATTCAGACTTTCAAAAAAACTTGGTTTCTTCAATTCTACAGTTATTGTTTTTGGCCACAGTTATGCAGAAAAAAAAAACAATTTCTACGATTTCTTTCCTTATGAATCAAACCAAAAAAAAAATAAATAAATAAATGCATTTAAACCAAGCACTTAGGTACAAAACTAGATAATATAGGTTATTTTGTTTCAGTATGAAATTTGAAGCTTATAAAAACCTCAGATGTGTAAAACCACAGTTTTTTTTATTGATTTTCGCAATTTAGATACGAGTAGAATGAAATTTGGCAGGCAACATAAAAAAGTGTATAAACCATCACTAAATTAAATGCCAGCTTTGAATGACGCAAGTATACTTTTAAGTATTTCAGAAAAAAGTGGAGTAGGTACAAAACGCCTTAAAAACAAGATTAGAGTTTGCAATATTTTTTAAGTATCTCACGTGTGTTACAGCGGCACCGAAAATGTGTCAGCTATTAAACCGCATCGTAAATGGCTACCACGTCGTTAAGTCACAAGGTAATGGCAGCTGGCTGACAAGCAAAGCCCAAATTCTAATTTTGTTTCGACATTAAAGCAATTTTTAATTTACTTAAAAAATTTCGTTAATCGCTTAAGTAGTTTGCTTGTACTAAAAACGTCGTTCCACAAATTTCCAGTTAATTTCCAGTAAATTAAAAAAAATTGGAATTAAAAGTTAAGAGGTAATAAGAAGTTTTTGTGGAGCGATTCCGCCACTTCTAATAATAATAATATTTTTTGGTGCTACCTTTTTTGCTTAGAAGTGTTTGGCCCGAACTTATTCGCCAATTTGTGGTGTGCGTCTTGTTGTTGTCAGGAAAATGGAGCGAACTGCAGTTCAATGTCGACTTCGAATGGCAAATCGGTTTGTGAGAAGCTTTTTCAAGACAAAAATAGAAAATAGAATAGTAAAAGTCAGAAAAGTTTGGTCTAAATTTCGAACTTTTTACTCTGAATTTAAAAAAAAATTTGTGGGTATGCAGTTTTATAGCCCATGGAATTTTAGTATAACCAACAATGTGCAGTAACAAATTTTCATTGATCAAAAAAAAAAAAACAACTCCGCCGCTATTTTGTGTTTTGTTTTTCAGTTAACAATTGGCATTTGCAAAAACTGGCGTTGTTTTTTGTTTTTTTATTTACACACCTGTCCATTTTTTCTTTTTTTTAAGAATCATTAAAAAATTTAGGCAATCAAAAGCTCCTCATGATTCCAGTAAAATGAGTTTTGAAAGGATCGCCTTTTGCCGATATATTATATATGTACACTAGGGTGGTCCAAACACATAAGAAAATCAAAATTTTTATGTTGCCACCACCCAGATCTAAAAAATAAGGAGATACGCATTTTTTTTATTTTGAAATCTATATTTTACATGGCGAAAATATCTATTTTTTATTTTTAATTGCTATAAAATCGTTTAAAATAAATATTTTTTGATCGAATAAGACGGTTTCCCTTCAGATGTCTTCAAAAAATAACAATATAACGCTTATTTAACTTAAAAATTTTACTGGATGTGTATATTTTTTTTGCAGTCTACTCGATTATTTCTGTGGGTAGCTGGTGAAAAATTTGGGAAAAATAGGGTTGTCACATATTTGAAAATTTAAAATTATTTAAAGGCCCAATGAAATAATTAAACTTCATTATCAAAACGAAAATCGTTTCAAGAGATTATAAAACATTTTTGTACGGGGTTGCCACCTTTCCAAAAAATACAACAACGGTTATTAAAAATTTAAGCTTACTTAATACCACAATATGGGTATGGAATGGAAGGTTTTTGAAAATACATACTTTAGTTCACACACATTTTTGGAATTAGGGTTGCCGTTTATCTACAATTAAAAAAAAAATTTAAATCATGCTACATGCTGTTAAATAAAATATGAGTTTCAAACAAAAGGTGTTAAAATAAAGCTTTAACCCCTACATATTTCTTCCCCTATCGAACTGTCGATTATGCGAAAATGCATATTACATCATTTCTCTTAACTTACCTAGTTACCTCATCTCAGTTAACAGATGGGTGGCAACCCTATTTAAAAACATGTTAGTTCAAAGCTTATGTGTACACCTTTCGTATGATACCTATATAGTGGTATTAAATAAGCTTCAATTTTAATTAATCTTTGTTGTGTTTCTTTATAAAGGTGGCAACCCCATTCAAAAATATTTTCAAACGCTTTAATTTTGAAGAAGAAACTTAAATTTTGTATTGACCTTTAAATGATTTTTAATTTTCATATATCTGGCAACCCTATTTTTTAAAATTTTTTACCACAAACCTACATAAACACCGAGTATAATTCCTCTTGAGGCTGAGGCTTTGCAAACATAAGAAGCTGATTTGAACGCCGCCAAAAGGCCAGAAAGATCTTGAAGTTGCGCGAGCCCAGCATTTGCTGAGCGTACATGAGGACCAACCGTCCAAGAGCGAACCGCAGTAGGACGGAGACATTCCCAGTTGCTACCTCTCCAGCTAAAACGTTTCAAGGGTACCTTTCCTTGACAATTCATCATCCACGCAGAGTCCTGTAGAATGTCACTGTGGCCCGGCACCTTTTGTATGAAATTAACTTTTGAATGGTCCTTAGGACCTTAAAATTCGGTAATAAATTGAAGAATATTAAGAAAACGCAAATATGACGATTCTTAGCGAGTAGTTAAATCGGAAGTTTTTATGACGAAAAAATCTTCGCCAGGTAAACTTTTGCCACAACTAACCACCCATAAAGGCCTTCAAGAAAATAGTCGTAAAATTACGCAATAGCAGTCATAAGTGCATAAGCATAAATAAGCTTTAAAGCTTAATCTTTCCATCAAATATTACGTTGCATATTAAATAATTTTCCAATTTGAAATCCTGCAATTGTAGGCAAACGAAAATTACATAAATGACAAAACAGCCTCGTAGACTTTGTTGGCTTTTCATTTTGTTGCCTGCAATGGCTGTCGCTGAAGTTTGCACAATACCCACCCAACAGAGTGTTAGTCTGCTTAGGTGGATTTGTTTAAAGTTAAATGCGACTTGGAATCGAGTCATTTAACTGGTGACATCAAGCAGAATAATTGCATACAAAGCGGAAGAAGGTAAGCACACGAAAGCAAAAGTAAGGAAAAAGTAGCAAGCTAAACACTTTACTACATTCATCTATCTATGTACACATGTATGTATATGTGTGTATGCCAACAATTCGTTGCCCGTGTTGCAAGTACAATTACAATTGCATAACTCAAATAATGACAAACAAAAAATCACAAGCACCTTTTTTTTAAAATACTACATTGAAGTGCAATTTGAAAAAATTAAATAACACTGCATAATATTTTAGTGCGCATACGCAAACAACTCACATACAACTCTGCTTTGTGCTGGTGCGCATACTTAATTGCATATGTATGTATGTACATTAGGCCGTATCACTTCGACTCTAAAGTATTTAAAAAAAAAAAAAATTTGGAGGCCGGCTTTTTGCATTTTTCGGTGGCACCTACATCGGCAATCAATTTATTTTTGTTATGGTACTACTGGAATAATCGAAATACTTCCTTAACAATAGTTTAATGATTTTTGGTGAACTTGAATTTACTGGTACTAGGGTGGGATACTTGAGGTCAATGAACTTTAGAACAAAAAAATTTTATAGTCGAGGCAAAAGCATCGATGCATCATACTCTGAGATTCGACTA